GTCATTAGACATATAATTAGATTAAAACAACTAAGGTTGCCATGGAAATTCAAGCCACATTTTAAGTGAAGTAAAAAAAAAATGCAAACATTACAATATTTGCAATTTATCAGTAACAAAAACCACCAACCCATGAATTTGTGTTCCTTATTTTTAAAGTGAGAACAAATAATAATAAAGTGAGAAAAGTATTTAACAGTTTAGCTCTGCTTTGGTTATAAAGTATATTTGTAGGATGAAAATAAGACTGATGGAGAAACTGGTGCAGCATCGTTCTTTAGACCACATTCAGGTCACTGGTTGAACACAGACCCACATATCTGAGCTTAAAGTGATGTTAACACAAAGCCAGAACAGTCTTCTCAGAAACGTCTGGACAACCAAACATAAATATGAATCAAATAAGATGGGAGTTAGTTCACAGTTATCCCTGTCTGCACGGTGAAAGCATCTGAGATCACAACAACAACAACAACAACAACAACAACAATAACAACATTCAAGAGAGAAATTTATTTCAATGTAGCAGAAAAGACAAACAGTCTATTCAAAGCTAAATGATGTTTTGTAGCAAACAAGTTGCAGATTTTTAGTATTTTAAAGACAATGATTGCCTTTAATACAAAATGAAGATATTTTCTTATCAAGTTAAATAAATATTTTAAAATATGTGAATTATAATTAACACAGAGATGATAATTAAGTAGTTGTATTTTGTGTGGAGACAATGGAAACATGATTTAAACAGCCGGGTTTACCTGAGATAGTCGTTGTGAATCTTCGTCCTCACTCTGATTAATCAGTGTTTGGATCGTTTCATTCTCACTGCGTGTCCTGCCTGCTTCTCTGTGCTCGGACCGTTGGGATCAGAAAAGACGCTGTTGATTGATCACAACTACACTGCTGTAGATAAAGCAGCATGACACACACACACACACACACACACACACACACACACACAATGTTCTTAATTAATCTTTTAGTTAATTTATTTGGATTTTTATCTTCTTATATTTTTTTATATCTATCACTCTTCCCGCAAAGCTCAGAAGCTGAATATTTCACAATCATTAATACAAGAACTAGTCAGTCATAAGGGATCGACTACAGTATATGCGAAGAGGACCATCGAGGAAGAGGAGCAGAGGAGCAGAGACGTTGAACAGGAGTCTCAAGGGAGAAATCTGGATGACCCAGCGACCGTGCAATAAGAACTTTAATGAAAGTCAACTAAATCAAACTTTCTCTTATACCTGACCATAACCTAACTGTAACCTTGACACTAAAACCACATTTTGAGCCTCAAAAAGGCTTCAAACCTGTGAGGACCAGTGCGTGTGTGTCCTCACAAGTGACTGTTGGTTCTCACAAG